AGATCTGAGTTCATTGAGGGCCGGTGACTGAGGGCCTCACTTCCTTGCCACAGGGCAGCTTGCTGCCCCCAGGGCAAGTGACGAGGGAGGGAGAGCAAGTGAGAGTGCCACCGTCTTTTGTATCCTAATCTTGGAAGCAACATGCCATCACTTAGTTTTCTGTGTCTTCTGTACCTTAAAGTGCTTCTCTTTACTAACCTGTCTCCCCCATTGCTTAGATGTGATTTCCCAGTCTAGCTTTTGCCTTCTCTCTCATTTCCTTTTTCATTCACACTTCCTAAAGGAGAAGTTTATATTTACTGTCTTAACTTTATCACACCTTGTCCTCTCTTCTCCCTCATTACCACTCCAGTCACTCTTCTCTGCCAAAGAGGACCCAGTGACTATGAAGACCAAGAAAATCTCCTTCGTTTGATATGATTTCTCTGTGGGACGTGTTTTCTCCTCCTCTCCCCTCCCTGGACTCTTCCCTGTTACCTTGAGACTATCTCCTCCCTTGACTGCTCATCTGTTCATATTTTTCCTGTTACTTCTCTTATTCTACCAGCCTCCCCTGGACTCAGTTCTTTTGCCAATCATTTAAATGCAGGTATTTCATAGGGTTTTGTTCTTGCCTCTTCCTATTTTTACCGTATTTTGTCTCCAAAACTGACCTCTACCCAAACTAATTATCTGTGATCCTCCCAACACCCATCACCATATACAAATACCAAATACACACATGCACGCACACACACACACATGCTTCTACCTGTGTTTTTTATTTGGTTAGTGAAATCCAAGCACCCCAGTGAAAAAGCTGTAAGTTGTCATATATTTTCCTGTCTTAGTTTCTGTGTTCTGTAAATCATTACGATATGTTCATTCTCTCTCCTGACTCCCTCTTGACTCTGCCTTTCTCTCCAACCCCACAATCCTTCCCCAGTTCATGCCTTTTTGGTTTTCCACCAGGTCTGTTGTCCTCATCTGATAACTGGGATCCCAGTCTCTGCTCTGGTCACTTTTCACTTCGATGATGCCACCAGTTATTTGTCTAAAGCATCCTTCTCAGCATTTTAATACCTAGGTTTCCCAGCTTTCACTGGCTCCATGTCATCAGATGGAGCCCAGTTCCTCCCTTGGCACATGTGGCGTTTCACCATCTGGTCTCTGTTGGTCTATCTGAAATTATTTTTGTTGCCTTCTCCCATATAGTTGATGTGCCTGCAGTGTGCACACCCCTCCATTCCCCTCAAAATGCCTTGATGTTTTATTCTTCTGTGCTTTTTGCCCCTGTTCTTTTATTTTACTGAAATGTTTTTTAGTCTCCCTTTTCCTCTCACACAACTCACAGACCATTCAAAACTCGGGCCCCTTGTCTCTGACCTGGGCCCTGCTCTTCTCCAACTCTGGCTCCCCTGCACCCTGAGTTAAGAACTTCTTCTCCTTTGCTTTCCCTCTCTCTGTGTGGGTTTCTTTTATTGCTCTTACCACTGCTATTCTCCTGTTTGTCCATGTCTCTTAGGTAGTGTGAGCTGTTTGAGGACAGGGTCTTTGACTTATTGATCTTTGTGCCCCAACACTTAGCAGAATCCTTGACACACTGATACCACTTAGCAAATATTTATTAAGTTACACATAGTTGGACTGAGTTATTATGGATTTAGGTATGGTTTTGTAGGGGAAATTAAGAATATAAAAACCTGAGTTCATTAGAACCTTTGCTCAAAGATGTGGTTTGGTAGTTTGGTGGAGTCTAGCTCTGACTGTGTGAAGCAGAAGAAAAATAAAATGCCTGCCAACTTAGAGTATTACAAATCAAGAAATTAAAAGTTTTTCTGAAGTCAGTCTCAGCATATTTATATTGCACTTTAAAAATATCTTGCTCATCCAGCTTTATTCATATTTCCAAATTTCTAAAAGTTGGTTGTTTCAACTTTAAATATTTTCCCATAGAAACAATGTTGCAGCACTTCAGTATTTTTATATCAGCCAGGGTGCACTCTGGAGACAGAGACCACACAATAATTGAATAGGGAAAGTTTATTATGAACAGTGGGTGATTGGCCATTATGGATAAAGAACCTCTAAACAATATCAGAGTAGCAGAAATAATGGGCAGAGTACCCAAGGAAGGAAGAAATCTGGAAGAGGGTCCCACTCCTTTCACCCCCAGGGCTGGGAGGAAGACCTCACTGGAAAAGGGGTGTCTTACTGCATGGCCGAGAAGTATACTGAAGTGCTGCAGTTGTGGGATTCACAGGGAATCTGCCTTCTGGGGTTCTGGGGTGAAGCCGTCCACAGGAAGGTGCCACACTGCAGAACTCACTGAGACTCTGCCAGTGAAAATGGTGCACTAGGAAGCCACCCTCAGTGCTGGAGAGAAGCTGCCGGTGGGCTGGTGCCATGTGCCTGCAGGTAAGAAGATGAGAACCAGGAAGAAGAGTCCTACTTTCTCCAGTGTCCATCGCTAGCACCCTCTACTGACATTGCTTAAAATTGGGCTAGCTGGCACAGGCAGGGCAATGGAAAGGTAGGTTTGGAGCTGAAAAGCAACAGATTAACAACTGGCACAGTCCACCCTGCAGTGGGTCAAATGTGTCCCCCAAAAGTTCATGTATTAGAAACTTGATCCCCACTGTAACAGTTTAAAGAGGGTGGGAAATCCGATTATGGTATTTGAAAGGTGGGACCTTTGAGAGATGACTGGATTGTGAAGACTGTGCCATCATGAATGGATTAATCTACTCATGGAGAAATGAGTTATCATGGGTGTGGCCTGGTGGCTTTATAAGGAACACATGAGAGAGTTTTGCTCTTGCCATCCTTACCATGTGATACCTACGTTGCTGTACAGAACCCCCCACCCAGAAGTCGGCCTTCACCAGATGTGTTCCCTGCACTTTGGACTTTCTGACCTCCATTGCTGTAAAAAAATAAATTTTGTTTCTTTATAAATTACCCAGTTTCAGGTATTCTTTTATAAGCAACAGAAAACAGACTAACACATACCTCCTTGACTACTGAGCTATCAGATATTCCAACTTAACAAGATACAGCTATCACAGAAGTTAGACTATATATATATATATATATATATATATATATATATATAAGTGTATAAAATTCAATATATATAAGATTACATATATAATTATTTTATATAATTTTTAAAATATATGATTTATAACTGATTACAATTTTATAAATATATAATTATATATGACTTTTACTATGATTTATAAATGTGTAATTTATTCATGTTGAATGCCACTGCCCAATGAGAGTAGTAGATGCAGATGAGAAGGGAGATGGCGACTCTCCGTGTGTTCTGAAGTCATTAATGTCACTCTTAGACAACACATGTTGTTAAATATCTTAATGTTATTTTCCTTGATCTAGAAATATTAAAAGCGTAGTTTTTGTATTTGTTACTTAAGAATTAATTCATTTTGACTTAGAAACATAAAGGATAAGACCGACTTTCCAATAGTAAGCAAGTGAGTGAGAGCCAGTAATGGGAGAGGAAGCATTGTGTGAATGTTTTATACACAGTTGCCTAACATAAGACTCATTACCACTGGTTCAGTGCCTAAGTTAGGCAACCAAAATAGTTGAGTGGCAGAGATCTTCTTGCCATTGAGCAAAGATAGGAGACAAGGAGAACAGTTTGTGTGAATGACCTTAAAGGGGAGAACTAAAGTGGTGGGGAAAGGTCTGGGCTCAGGGAGCTGAGTGTGACAATCAGTGAGGCGAGTGCGTTCACCCTGACTGTAATGGGACAGGTTTGCTGCTTATCCACATGCGGATGGTCGTGGTGACGTGAGGCAAGTAGTGTGGTCATAGCTTGGCAGTACTTCAATATTATGAGTCATTGCTTGGGGTAAAAGGTGTCATGAATTTTTGTTCATTAACCTTAACAATAACAGCATATAACTTATGGAGGCTGCGCTCAATAGTCCCACAGGTTCTTCTGGAAGAATCTTTTGTCATTCTTGCAAGAAGAAAACAGGAATAAAAGCAGTCTTATATGACCCAGAGAGAATCTTGTGAATATTGATTACATAATATGTTTAATGAATCCTGACATATTTAGATCCATAACTTAGACGAATGGAGAGATTTAAGGTCAAGTCTGGTGTCTCTTCCAAAATATGACCTTGTTATTGATTATCACCCATCTCTTCCTACCTGCTTCACAAGTATCTTTCTCTATGGTTTTCATTTTTTTTTTTCTTACCTGCTATTAGTGGACAACTGGAAGTACCTTAGAGGTATTGTTTTTCTAACATGCATTCTCTCTAGCTACTAGAAGTATGTGAGAAGTTGGGAGGGCCGATGGAATCAGGGACTGGGACAAGTGTACCCTAACCCCCCAGCTGTGGAGCAATTTTTATGGACAATTATATACGATGTGTATTGACTTGGATGTTAGACTTATCTTACTATTGGCCTTGAAATCCTCACTCAAATGATTAGGGGAACCTCTTCCTGCTGAAGAACTAGACAGAACTCTCAAATACAGGTAGGGAAGTTGGGTTTATAGCTCCAATTACCTTCTTAACCATATATATATGTTAATTATATATATTAATATATATAATTAATATGTATGTTATATATATAAATATATATATACTTTTTTTTTTTTGCTATGTCCTCAAATAGTGGAAAGCATGAGGGAGCTTTCTTTTGTCCCTTTATAAGGGCACTCATCCCATTCATGAGGACTCTACCCTAAAAGACTCAGTTGCAGAGATGCCTGTGACCTTCAGGTGACATGTAGGTCAAAGTCAGGTTATCTTAAAAGGTTCCTCAGCACTACATACTGCCTCTCCTAACGTTTCAACATTTTAGAGATTGAGGTCCTCTGTTCTGTCTTTAGTTACCATGTGTTATAAAACATTTTGAATCGTTGTGGAATATTTGGTGTCAGTAACTCTGGTTGGATTGCTGAATGTATGTGGTATTAGTGTCCATGCCTAATTGTAAATGGGTTTTTATTTTGTTTTGTTTTTCAGGTCTTTCTAAAGAGTGACCGAGTGGCCAGAATGGTTCAGAGTGGAGGGTGTTCTGCTAATGATTTCAGAGAGGTGTTTAAGAAAAACATAGAAAAACGTGTGAGGAGTTTGCCAGAAATAGATGGCTTGAGCAAAGAGACAGTGCTGAGCTCATGGATTGCCAAATATGATGCCATTTACAGGGGTGAAGAGGACTTGTGCAAACAGCCAAATAGAATGACCCTAAGTGCTGTGTCTGAACTTATTCTGAGCAAAGAACAACTCTATGAAATGTTTCAGCAGATTCTGGGTATTAAAAAACTAGAACACCAACTCCTTTACAATGCATGCCAGGTAAGTGGTCTATGATACTTCCCATTCCCCCTGTCTGCCTCATAAAATGAACATCAATTGCCTGTAAGCCTGTGAAGATGTACTTTCTATAATCACTTTGCTTGAAAAGTTGAATGAAATTGAATTTTAATAAATCAAATAGTGAGATTTGAAAGAAACTTTGAAAGATGTTTTTGATAGAGAAAGAAGAATATCATTACTTTCTATCTAGAAAATCATTGTTCCCATGCGCCCTATTTTAGGACATCAGATTTGTGCCTATTGGGTATATATTGGGCATGCTCTGAACAGTAAAATGAAAATAATCTGTTATCTGAAAAAGCTTGGCAGTTTACAATAAACAGGTATTTCTCAGTGCAAAATACTTTTTCATAAAGATATGATACTGTTCTGAGTTTTATGGAAGTAATTGAAATTTCAAACTTTGTTCTTTAACCTAGCAGGATAGGAATGAATTGAAGATGATTGTTAAACTATGTATTTTAAAGAGACGATAGAGTTAATAACATACTTTCTCTTCAGTTGTTATTCTAGTCATGCATATGAAAAATTGTGTAAGTCTCATCTTTCCATGTCTTTCATTTTTACCCCTATGATTGATCTAATAATGTATTCTTCTATATTTGCATTTTGTTTGCTTATTTTGGTATAAATTATTTAACTATGCCCTAATATACAATTAAAATTAACATAGTTCTGGCATTTTAAAATTCATGTGTTCATTAAGAGTTATACTCCTATAATGTATATATGTTTATTTTTAATCTTTTCACAAGTCTACTTCTCTTAATTTCTGCATTCTGTCCCTATCACTTCACATTGCTCATTTGTGGATCATTTGAGATAGATGAATTAAGAGTTAAATAATAATAAAGCAATGTGGCACCTTAACCCTGTGAACAGTTCATACACACACCATAATTGTTTCACTGTGTTATTAAAGTAGGTGGTCACTTGATAATAGTGGAGGACGACTGAAAAACCAAAAGCTTCTATTTAAAATCTTCTATTTTAAAAGATAAATACAACTGGGACCTTGTATTTTTAATGAAACAGTAGGTCACTTATACAGTTAAATGTTGATGAACATAATTCAGGAGTTAAAATTTAGATTCAGACTTTTGATAGGTATTTATTGAGTATGTATTTAAGTCAAAAACCTCACTTAGGTGTTAGGGAAGCCAAACAAAGCAAAATAAAATATTTGTTCTCCAGTTTCCCTGTCCACTAGAGCAGAGAAACATCTAAATGAGCTATTACTTATGTATTAGAGTCTATACTGGATGTTACAGAATTATGAAATATAGTTCTGTGTACATGTGAGTTTGTTTATTAACTTAAAATATTTTAAATTTATCCTTTGCTGACTTTTTAAGATCCTTTCTACAGCTGTGTTGTGGACTGTCTGATTTCTAACTTGGAACATTTTTCAAATTCAAATCTCCAGTTTGTTCAGTATTTTAATGTAAGGACAGGAGTGATGAGTTCCAATCTGTTTACATGTCTGAGCTGAAACTGGAATTCCTGCCAGTTCTGATATTTGAAAGAAAAGCTTAAGGATTTTTCTTTTGGATTGATTTAAAAACAAAATGAAATTACAAAAAAGTACTCCTATAAAAAAGAGAAGAGCTTTCCTTTGCAATAATGACGGTTTTTCAGAAATTATGAAAATACATTGTTAAAACAGCTGAGATTCTTTATTTTTCCCCAAAAAGCATATATATCTTATTTTACTTGTCCTTTTCTTTAAACAAAAATTAAAAAATTAAAGGTAATAAAAAATGTAATAGAAATCACAAAATATAGCTGGCCCTTTAGAGAAAAGAAATCATCTGAGAAGAACAAAAGTGGAGCAGGAATTGAGGGAGCAGAGGGAGGGTGGGGAGCTGGTGGAGCTGCTAGAACCTGGCTCAGTGAGGTTTCCTCTACCTCCCCCATGTTCCAGGGACGGCCTTAAGACTCCTGCTAGCTGTAACAAGCTCATTTCTGTATTTCTTTGCCCTTGTCTGGTCCTTTGTTTTTGCCAGCAGCAATTCCCTAGAAAAATCTCAAAAAATGTGTTGCTTGCTACAGGGTCAGAAGCTCAGGATAGAGAGCTGTTGTGGTGAGAGGTACAGGATAGCAACAGCCAGGCAGTCTCTGGGACTTGAGAAGGTCAGGACGTGAAAGAGAAGGGAGTCCTGTCAGGGCTGCACATGACACTAACGGGAGCATCATGCGATCCCATCTTTTGTCCCAGAACTGCAGGATTAACATCTAGAATGGAAAAACAGGAAACTGTCTTCTGAAAAAGCACAGGTGTTTGCATGTCTTCTGGTCAGAGCCAGTAAGTTATTAATGATCAAACTTAAGGCATCAAGAAAACTCCTAAAACACTAAGTTGGAAGGTAGCACAGACCACAATAAAGATATGAAGTCAGGAGTAATTGTAAGAAACATTATTTACCTGTTATCAGAAAAACATTAAAAAGATAAAAAGGAATAAGAACAACCAAGCATGTTGTAGATTAGCTATTATGTTATTAAAACTGTCGTACTTTGGATTCCTTGATTTGAGAATAATGTATCTGCAGTGATACATTCATAGAACAAAACAGTAGAAGAAAAAGATAATGAAGCTCAAAAGTACGCAGTCTAAAATGAGCAACGGAACAGTACAGGAATCTGAAATTGTGAGCCATGATATAGTTGAATCAGAATCTTACAAGTGCAGTAAGGAAACAGGAATGAAGAAAGAAAGATATGTTAGTGGGAAATTCCAGAATTATTTTAGAGAAATGCAGTGAATTTCAAGTAAAGATAGCTATTCTTTTAGAGGGATAATGTTAATGTTAAATGATATTAAAACTATGTATTTTATTGTCTTGATAAGAATAGTTTGATTTCACATTTTTTAATGAAAATGCTGTTCCTTAAGCGGTACCAGTTAATCAGCTGCCTTTCCTTAAATAGAAATTAAATGTGTTTATTAAAGATTATTTTTAAATATGACATAAGGTAATACAGTATGTTCAAATTAATTAGTTAATCCATTATCCATAACCATGCAGGGAATATAGATAGTATGCTCCAAGCATTGCGTTAAATGATTGGAACATAGAGAATGATAAGACCTCGGTATTTGCTGAGTTTTTTTTTTTTTTTTTTAAAGTAATAGTCTTGTTGTTAATGCCACAGTGATGTGGTAAATCCCTGGATTTGCCTTCTTGGGATTGGGAAAGGCAGTACAGTCTTTGGGTGTGTCATGAAGAAGTTCACCCAAATGAGAAGATGCTGAGGTACTGTGGGCAGAGGGACAAGCACGTGCAGAGGGTGGAGGTGTGAAACAGCGTGGTTTTGGGGGGAAGTGGCAGTCTTTGATATGACTGGAGTATAAGGACGAGATGGGATGGGGCTGTGGTTTGAGATGACATTAATAGAGGTAGGTAAGGGTTGTACAGGCTGAGGAGAGACGTGCAATCCTAAATGACCAAGGCACGAAGAGTGGAGTATGTTATATTATACCTACTTCTGTAATTCTCCTTCTGTTCTTGTATTTGTATTTTAAGAGGATTAAGTCACTCCAAATTTTCCAGCTGCCTAGATCCTCATCTTTTCTGCCAAAACAACCTTCATTAATATTTTATAATCTCAGGGCCGAGCCCGTGGTGCACTTGGGAGAGTGCGGAGCTGGGAGCACAGCAGCGCTCCCGCCGCGGGTTCGGATCCTATATAGGGATGACCAGTGCGCTCACAGCACTCTGGCTGAGCGTGGTGCGGCAGGTCTCAAAAAGGACAAAAAAAAAAAAAATTTTATAATCTCATTCCATTAACTAAAGAAGGTGACTCACCCAGATTTACCCCAGAGTCAAAGCAAAGTTAACTGATATCTTGCTCTCTTAACATCCCCAAACCCCCAAATTCCTTATGTTTTGAAGACTGCCATAACTGTATTAAGTAATATCACAAAACTGTTTGGTATTTGTAAGGGATAAACAGGAATACTTTCAAATGGTTAAAAAGTAATGTTCACATTTATGATTCCCTTTCCCTAGAAGTCTTAGCTTTGGAGATGAAGCACTTTGGGTCTAGGAGGTTAAAGAAATCCATAAATAGGCAGTTGCTGTGTTTCTTGTTTCTCTTACTGTGGACGCCTTCCCCTGGGAAGTTCAGGAGCCATGAGGCATTAACCGTTCTGAACACCTCCATTCAAGGTGTGTAAAAGGAAGGTAGAGAGAGGGACAAATGTGAGCCCTCAAAGGAAGTTGGGATCTGCTTTCCACCGCTGTCTTTCTTCTCAGCTAGAGCATGTGATTGATAATGTCTTATTTACCATAAAAATAATTTGTCTACTTGAGCAGATTAAAAGCATATTCCACAGACATTTGAATAACTTTCAAAATGACTTTTAAAAATGACTTTCAAAATAGAAAAATAAACATGGAAATGACAATTAGGCAGGGGTATATTTTTCATATATATGTAATTTTATTTCTTTACATTATTTTTTATTATACATGTGGGGTGCAATGTTGATTTTTTTTAATAATTGTGTAGAATGTGTGGTGGTTAGATCAATATATTTAGCTTATTCATCATTACAGTTTGCAATCATTCTTAGTGTCCATTGACCAAGTCCTCATTAGCCCCCCTACTGCTCACCCTCCCCTCCCCTTTTCCACCTCTAGTTTTCTAAAAGTTCAATGTACTACTGTGATTGTTCTTTCTTTCTTTCTTTCTTTCTTTCTTTCTTTCTTTCTTTCTTTCTTTCTTTCATGTTTCTCTTTATTGCTCATTTATTTATAGATTCAGCTCCCATTTATGAGTGAGAACATGCGGTATTTCTCTTTCTGTACCTGGGTTTTTTCACTTAGGATAATCTCAAAATACTTGAGGGAAATATTCAAGTAAATGTTAGTAAATAGCAGTTTTTGTGTTTTGGAATGTAGCAAGGGAGAATTTAAGACCTTAAGAATGATCCGATTTTACAATATCTGATTTTTGAAATTCTGAAATTGATT